AAGCAATTCCATGTGGATGCACGTGTTATATCCGCCGACTTCTTTAATCAGTTTGGTAGAAAGACTTATGTAACATCTGCCTCTTATCTGAATTTGATTAAATCATTTACGACACTTACCAACAGGAAGCAACGCGAACTAAAAGCGGCAAAGTTGAGGTACACTAATGGTTTAGATAAATTAGGTCAAGCTGCGGAAGCAGTTTCAATCATGCAACATGATTTAAATGCATTAAAGCCGCAGCTTATGGTGATGGCTGCAAAATCAGCTAAAATGATGCAAGAGATAGAAGTAGAAACCGCCATAGCTGATAAAGCCGCAGCACAAGTAAGAGAGGACCAAAAAGTTGCCAATGTACAAGCGGCCGCTGCAGAAGAATTGAAAAAAGATTGTGAAGCTGACTTAGCGCTTGCATTGCCAATTTTGGAAGACGCTATTGCTGCATTGAACACATTAAAGCCTGCAGATATAACCATTGTTAAATCAATGAAAAATCCACCGGCGACAGTTAAGTTGGTGATGGCGGCAGTGTGTGTAATGAAGGGTATACCTCCTGATAAAATACCCGATCCTGACAATCCAGGAAAGAAAATGCTAGATTATTGGGGTCCCAGTAAACGTATATTAGGTGATATGGGCTTCTTAGATTCCTTGAAAAATTTTGACAAAGATAATATTCCTATCGCAACAATGCAAAAAATTAGAAAAGAATATTTATCCCATAAAGATTTTAAACCTCACATAATAGCCAAGGCATCCACTGCTGCAGAAGGACTTTGTAAATGGATAATTGCTATGGATATGTACGATGCGGTCGCAAAAGTGGTAGCACCGAAAAAGGCAAAATTAGAAGCGGCTGAAAAAGAATTTGCCGAGACAATGGCGATATTGGAAGAAAAGAAAGCAACAGTAGCTCGTTTAGAAGCTAGACTAGCCGAGTTGAATGAAGCATTGGAAGAAGCTAATATTAAGAAAAAAGCTTTGGAAGATGAAGTTCAACTATGTATTGATAAATTATATCGCGCTGAAAAACTTATTGGTGGTCTGGGAGGTGAGAAAGTTCGCTGGACAGCAGCTGCTGCAAACCTACAAACGTTATTCGATAATCTTGCAGGAGATATTTTAGTATCATGTGGGATCATAGCCTATCTTGCACCATTTACATTACCAGTAAGGTTAAAAGTTACCGATGAATGGAGAAAACTAATTATAGATTTGGATATGCCACATTCTCCAACTTATTTATTAAAAGATGTATTGGGATCTGATATTAAAATACAAAATTGGTGTATTGCGGGTTTACCGAGGGATTCTTTTTCCGTTGATAACGGTGTAATTTTAGATAATTCGATGCGATGGAGTCTGTTAGTCGATCCACAAGGTCAAGCAAATAAATGGATCAAAACAATGGAGAAACCTAACGATTTACAAATAATGAAATTCACAGATGGTAATTATATGAAAGTTATCGAAACTTGCTTGGAATACGGAAAGCCTGCCTTGATAGAATGTGTTCTAGAAGATGTAGAAGCTCCGTTAGATCCTATTTTAATGAAAAACACTTATATGCAAGGTGGAAAGGAATTTATTGCACTAGGAGACAACGTTATTGAGTATCATCCACATTTTAGACTTTACATGACAACTAAATTAAGAAATCCGCATTACCTACCCGAAGTATTCAATAAAGTCACTTTGATAAACTTTGCTTTGACAAAAGAAGGTTTAGAAGATCAACTGCTTGGAATAGTTGTAGCTAAAGAACGCCCTGATTTACAAGAAAAACGTGAACAATTGATTGTACAAGGTGCTGCAAATCGTACGGCACTTAAACAGGTCGAGGATGACATATTACGAACATTACAAGAAACTAAAGGTGATATTTTAGAAGACGAAACGGCAATTGAAGTTCTAGACTCATCTAAACTTTTAGCTGTCGATATTATGAAAAAACAAGAAGCTAGCTTAGAAACTGAAGAAATAATTGAAAAGTTTAGATTAGGTTATAGACCAATCGCGTCACACTCAGCCGTTCTGTACTATTGTGTTACTGAATTACCTAATGTTGATCCAATGTATCAATATTCGCTTACCTGGTTTATTAATTTGTATATATTATCTATTGAGAATGCTAACAAATCTAAAGACTTAGATAAAAGATTAAAGTTTTTAAAAGAAACATTCACTTACAATTTGTACAGCAATGTATGCCGATCCCTATTTGATAAAGATAAACTTATGTTTTCATTTATAATGTGCTCTAAAATGATGTTATCCACTGGCGAAATGAGTCATGAGGAATATATTTTCCTCATAACTGGAGGTATTGCCGTTGAAAATCCATTAAAGAAGCCAGTTGATTGGATACCCGATAAAGGTTGGGATGAAATATGTCGAATAAATGATTTGACTATCTATAAAGGATTTCAAAAAAGTTTTGTTGACTCTCCAAGTAAATGGAAAGAAGTTTACGATGAACTGGAACCCCATAATAAGCCACTGCCGCTGGGATGGGAAGAAAAGTTATCCGCCTTTCAAAAGTTATTAATTATTCGTATATTAAGACCTGATAAACTAACCATCGCGATTTCTGAATTTGTAGAAAAGCAAATGGGTCGAAAATATATTACTCCTCCACCATTTGATATTGGAAAATCATTTGGCGATTCAAATTGCTTAGCCCCTTTAATTTTTATATTATCTCCCGGTTCAGATCCCATGGGAGCTCTAATAAAATATTGTGAGAAGATGGGCTTTTCACATCGATTCAATTCAATTTCTTTAGGCCAAGGTCAAGGACCTATTGCCAGAGCTATGATAGAAAAGGCGCAATTAGAAGGAGGTTGGGTTTGTTTGCAAAATTGTCATTTAGCTGTTTCTTGGCTTCCAGTACTTGAAAAAATTGTTGAAAATTTTGACTTGACAAATACTGACTTAAGTTTTAGATTATGGCTCACTAGCTATCCATCTGACAAATTCCCTCAATCCGTCCTCCAAGTAGCTGTCAAAATGACCAATGAAGCACCTACTGGGCTACAGCATAATTTATTTAGATCATATATGTCTGAACCATTAAAAGAACAAGAATTTTTCGAAGGATGTCCTGATAAAGATAAACCTTTCAGCAAGCTCCTTTACGGTATAAGCTTTTTTCATGCTGTGGTTCAAGAAAGAAAAAAATTCGGCCCCTTGGGTTGGAATATTCAATACGGTTTTAATGATTCCGATTTTCAAATATCGGTAATGCAACTACAAATGTTTTTAAATCAGTATGAAGAAATACAATACGTAGCTATAAAATATTTGACCGGGGAATGCAACTATGGCGGAAGAGTAACTGACGATTGGGATCGAAGGTTAATAGTTACCATATTAAATAATTATGTTAATCCAGGTGTAGTAAGTGATCCTAACTATTTGTTTTGTGACATTGGACCCCAGTACGGGTTACCTCGCAGGTGTGAATATCAAGACTACCTCAAGCATATCGAAACCGTCCCTGTGTCTCCGCCGCCAGAAGTATTCGGCTTACATATGAATGCAGGAATAACGAGGGATTATTCTATTTCTTTGGAGCTCACATCGACACTAGTCCTTGTCGAAGGCGGAGGTAGCGGCGCGGAGGGCGGAAATACTGAAGTCATACTTGTTCAAATGGCATCAGAAATTTTGTCTAAACTTCCCTCGACATTCGATACTGAGATGTCTCAAAAAAAATACCCAGTCGATTACAATGAATCGATGAACACTGTCCTTATTCAAGAAATGGAAAGATTTAACAAACTGCTTAATGAAGTCATCAGATCTCTTTTAGATTTGCAGAAAGCTGTGAAAGGTCTTATTGTTATGTCGCCGGCTTTAGATATGATGGCTAATGCAATGCTGCTGGGTAGAATACCTGAGAATTGGTCTAAACTATCGTACCCAAGCTTGAAACCCCTACCGAGTTACGTTCTCGATTTAGTCGAACGCTTGTCAATGTTACAAAAATGGTATGAAAACGGTAAGCCACCTACTTTTTGGCTCTCAGGGTTTTTCTTTACTCAAGCTTTTCTGACTGGCTCAATCCAAAATTACGCAAGAGCGAAAAAAATACCAATTGATTTGTTGATATTTGATTTTGAAGTTCGCAAAGTCGATTACGAAACGACTCCCGCAGAATGGGGAGTTTACGTTGAGGGTATCTTTGTCGACGGCGGCCGCTGGGATCGCAACGAACACGTCGTGGCTGAACAATATCCTAAAATATTGCACGACACAATGCCCGTCATATGGTTATTTCCTAAACTTAAAACTGAGTTTGTGGAAGGGACGCGATACAAATGTCCCTTGTACAAGACGTTAGAGAGAAAGGGGGTTTTAGCCACAACAGGTCATTCTTCTAATTTTGTATTGGCTTTTTATTTGCCATCGGATAAACCATCCTCTCATTGGATTCAAAGAAGTGTAGCCTTAATTTTACAGCTAGATAATTAGATAGTGAACTTGGTGATGAGAGGTAACATTGCCATTGTTTCTTTGTTAGCATAGAATTAGATTATCGATATTCACAGGTTGTATTAATGATATTTCAAAATTCAATTAATAATCCTTTAAAATATTACTAGCGAACTTTCCCATAAGTCAGTATGTGTTATAAAACTTTTGAGTGGTAACATACGCATATTTTGATATTTAAAACTGTAAATTTGCATTCTGACAATAATAGGAATGTAAACACGATAATAACTATCGGTCTTCATCCTGTAAAATCCGTAGGTTAAAGCTCGATCATGCAGTGATTATTTTTATGTCAACTTTTAAACTTTTTTGAAATATTATGAAAAAGATCATATTTTTGCGTCTCATTATAACTCATATTTATTGCATTGTACTGTTAACTGTATTGTGTTTTAGTTTAATAATAAAATTAATTAATCCGGGGCATTGCCCTTTAAAATGAAACAATATTCCGTGTTTTATTTTTATTCATTAAACATTTTACGTGTGTACGTAATTTAATAAATACCTAACTTTAAAAATCCGTTTGTTTATTTTTAATTAATGTTTGCCGTATCTTATTTGCTTCAAGGAGCTGACGTCTCAGCTTTAACATGATTGCATTGTTACGTTTCTGAAATATATATATTTCAATTACAAATAAAAATATAAATAACAAAGATCCTTAAAATAAATAACAAAGATCAAGACAATAGTCAGATGTGAAAAAGCTGATTCGTCGTTGAGTAATTCAAGTTCAGTCCATTAGTTTCAGTGGTATCTCTATTGAATATGTAAGTATTAATATTTCTTACCTTTAAGACGGCACATTCACGTTCAATCATCACTGTTTCTTTTTCAAGAGCGCTAACTATTGTCTTCTGTTCCTCTTCAAGTTGGAGTTCTTTCTTTTTTAATTCTTCCGCCTCGGCTTCTTTGGCTTTAATGTCTTGCACTTGCACCGCTTGTTCTAGTAACAGTATTTTTTAATTCATACGCCATCTTAGCCCATTTCCCTACGGATAGCTGGTACGTTTTGTATACTCTCCAATACATCTCTATTAGCCATATGCACACCCTTAGCCATTTCCTCTTTCACACAATCCATAAACACTTTCTTCGGTCTTCCGTTAAATAAGACTATGTTCCAAAAAGCACAAAATAGTAGATAGTTTTCTTTTATACCTTTTTATTATAGTACAAACTACTTACCTTTTAAAAAAAGTTGTTTGAATCCATCCACGTGTTGGTTGAGGCTTTCAACTTGTTCTTTCATTTTACACTGTTCCGAAGCTTTACAGATCTCTACCACGGCTATTTGAGTATTCACTTCCGAAATACCATTAACGAGTATCTGAAATAAAACAAAACGTCTAATGTGAGCCACAGTAGTATTTAAACTTAACGACTTTTGGAAAATACCCGCATGAAGAATTAGCATTTGTATTTTTTGCATTCAGTTTTTACGTTCCGATATAAGGTAACGTTGCCTTCTTCACTCCAAGCGTCACCTCCTATGTATTTTGATCTATTTGAAGTTTAATATAAGTGACATCATTTTCATTTTGTCGGTTATTTTGAAAATTACTACTTCTATGTGCTACGACATATACCTACCTCTAATTGCTCTGTTAATAGACTTATTTCGTTTGTTACAACCGAAATTTCGTTTGTAAGGTTACGCTCTGTAGTGCGCAGCTGACTTTGTATTTTATCAATGGTGTGCTTACGCCTTAAAACTAAAATAAAGAAAAAACAAAAGAATTACATAGTACTTAAAATTCTTCTGAGAACTTCCTAAATTATTTTTTGATGGTCTTAAAGCTGAAATTATTATAAACCTGTGTATATACAATTAAACACTTCCACAAATGTGAAAACAATATGTATATCATTTTATATCATGGACGCAGTTTAATAAAAATTAAAGCCAAAAACCTGATTTAAGTTGTAGTTTCAATGATTCTACGTCACTCGACATTGTCTTAAATTTGTAAATTTCCTTATAGGACTAAATATGTGTATATTATGTTTTTTTTATTTCTCACTAAAAAACTTTAACGTACACGAGTACACGGCACTAAACAGTTTTGAATACAAAGTTCCAATTTTATTTTATCCAAACAAATCATTATTATTAGTGGTTGATAGACATCAGGTATATAATATTTAACTTTAGTTGTCTTATTTTTATTGTTGTGTAATAAAGAAATTAATACTGTTTTTTAAATTACAAAATATACACTGTAAAGTTATATCATCTGTTTAATTTTCCGTTGACATGAGTGACACTGACGCTTCTAAAATTTTTTTTTAATCTACATTGCGGTGTAATGCGTCGATTTAAAGCGTGGTTATCTTGAAAATTCTTTCTTTTATAAGTTTCAGTGATGTTGTTTGTAAGTGAAATGCAGTTTTTTACTCCATCACAAGTGATAAACATTTTTACACCATAATTTACCGTCCTTATGTGTAAATCCTCAAAGATGGTTTCTGGGTCGACGAGGGTGATTCAAGTCACTAATATCGCGCCCCAGGCGACGAAGGACCAAATGCAAACTTTGTTTGGTTATCTGGGTAAGATTGATGACATAAGACTATATCCAACGATTAGAGATGTATCATGTCCTGTGCAGTCCCGTATATGTTATGTGAAGTACTATGACTCTGCTACAGTCAATGTAGCTCAACATATGACAAACACGGTTTTTATCGACCGTGCATTAATTGTAATACCCATGCAGTCAGGTGAGATACCTGATGAGCATAAAGCACTTGAGATGTCAAGCAATGGGACACTAGTGCCTGGCTTAAGTACTGTAGAGCCAAGATTACCATCACATGTGGTGAACACCTTAGAAGGCGTTCCTCCAAACCAAGTTATCCAAAGTTATGACCCTAAAATGGCAGCTGCGGGAGTTCCAGTATATCCACCCCTGCCAGCGGCTTATGATTCTAGAAAAATTGAAGAAATACGAAGAACATTACTTGTCATAGATGTAGGTGAATTAACACAACAGCAATTGATTGATCATTTTACTCAAGCTGGAGAAGTTAGTTATCTAAGGTTTTGTGATAGAGAAGCAGACAATCTTAAATATGCTCTTGTGGAAATGTCTGAGCAGGAGTGTGTTATTAAAGCTTTACAGTTGAATGGAAGTACTGTTGAAGGGCAGACTATTAAGGTTAGTAAAATTTCTGAATTAATTTTAAGATGCAGTCTTCACAACAACACTAAACTTAAAACTCAATACAGTCAAACCCAGATAAGTGAGTTTGATATTTTTGTTGCTTATATAGGCTTCTATCTAATCTGAGTTTCTCAGTTATGGAATTGGCCCATCGAGACCAAACAATTATTTTTACTTCAATATGTTTCTGCTTATCTAGGTTTGACTGTACCTAAGTGTCTTAAGATAATTAAAGATACTCACTGCTAAACTCCAGGGAAGACATTAACTAGTTTTGCCATACAACATAGAGTGTGAGGTGTCCTGTAACTGGTAATACTTCCGCATAAGCATTCACCCTGAGGAAGCACCCCAATGAGTGCAAAACTAATTTGTGCCATCACCAGAATTTAGCTGTTCATATTTATCTTACTAATGTAATCTTCTAATAAAGTCTCAAAATGGTTTAAACAATTTAATTACTTAAGCAACTGTGATAAATTGTAATTTTGACTTGCCAATTCTTTAGACAAAAATTCAACTTTTTAACTCATTAGTGTAATGATAAATCAAATATTCTATTGACATGCAAAACTTGAAAAAAAAGTGTCCACATTACCACCACACACATCCATGTCGCACATTTATGTCAGTTTATTGACAAAACTAACTTGCTGTAGACATTAATTTTTACACAGTTGCGTTCTGGTGTCAACATGATAAAGTTTTTAAAACAACTTATTACATTAATAGGTACATCATGCAACTCAAGCTATTTGTAAGCCACAAACTAAGAGTAACGAGGCTGCCCAGAGAGAAATAGAAGAAGCCATGTGTCGGGTGAAGGAAGCTCAGAACTACATTTCAGCTGCTATTGATCCAGTGATTGGACTCTTGTCAAAGGAGAAAAGACGGTATGTAATTCAAATCAATTTAGTGCACCAATATTGTTCACAAAGTGTTCTTGTGCATCGATTTAGTACAATTTGTGAATCTTTGTGTAGGACGCGGTCTAGGTCGCGATCCAGGCGGCGGTCCCGGTCGCGGCGATCGCGGTCGCGTTCTCGGCATCGCAGCAAGCGCTCGCGTTCCCGTTCCCGCCATCGCTCGCGTCGCTCCCGCTCCCGACACGCGCACCGCACCAGGTAACACACAAATTATTTTATTTCACTTCATATTAATTAAGTGACCGAAACTAATAGGTAATTTAACTTTTTGTTCTATTTGATCCAGGTCTCGATCCCGTCAACGAAGTTCCCGCGTATCTCGCTCTAGGTCGCGTCATCGCTCCTCGAAGTCCAAACGCGACCGGTCGCGTGAGCGCGATCGTGACCGCAAAGACAAAGACAAAGAAAAAAAGAGTTCCAGTGAAAGAGATAAAGATAAGAAGGAAAAATCTAAGTCTCCGATTAAAGATATCGAAAAAAATGATAAGGAAAATGAAAAACCTGAAAAGGACGAATCCAAGCCGGAAGTCGTCGTCGATACCAATGGACGACCCGAATCCGACGCAAAATCAAAAGCATCAACACCAGTAAATGATAAGGAAGAAGAACCAGAGAAAGATAAGAAAAAAGAAAAGGACAAAGAAAAAGATAAAAAGGAGAGGGATAGAGAAGACAAGAAGGAAAAGGATAAAGACAAAGATAAATCTCCGTCCAAAAGGCGAGACCGTTCAAGGTCTCGGGAGAAAAAACGCGACAGATCACGATCTAAGCGTAGGTCTCGTTCGCGATCTAGAAGGAAACGATCGAAATCTAGAAGAAGGTCGCGATCTAAAGATAGGAAACGGTCTCGTTCCAGAGACAGGAAGAAATCTAGATCACGGGACCGTAAACGTTCCAGATCTAGAGATAGGAAAAAGTCGCGGTCTAGAGACAGAAAGCGGTCCAGGTCGAGGGACCGCAAGCGGTCCCGCTCACGGGACAAGAAGCGGTCGCGATCCCGCAGCCGCCGCTCCAAGAGCCGCTCCCACAGGGACTCCAAGACACCGCACGAACGAAAGTCTAGAGACCAAACACCTCTGCTTCCTGTACCAGAAGAAAAAGAAACGACTTTAAACGACTCCAAACTTCAGGATATGGCGGATGAAAAGAATTCTCCAGACAACATGGATATTTCTAATTCACCGTAACTTTAACTAAAGCCACATAAGTAATATTTCTCATGAGTCTTTCACTTTATTGCCAATGTACATTTCCAATTCCAAATAAAATAAATTTTGAATACACATGTTTTTTATTTTCCTTAAATGATCTAAAGGCTATTGATCTTCCTAAAGCAGATTTGATGTCAATCTATACTTGCATATTTAATATTTTAAGAATTGTTTTAAAGTAACGAAAAAATAGTACTGATAATTACAATTTTAATTATTTTATATTAGACGTTTCGTGGGTTTATCGATAATTATGTTTGGTTAAAAAGTTTTCATTTACTACATATTATAGAAAAATATGATTTAGTTTTAAATCCACCAATGAAAATACTTGTCTTTAAAACAAAGAATTTATGAATCTATCTATATTATATAAAATCAAGCATATACAAAAAATTAAGTTGCCGAATATTTACCAATTTAATTAACACGCTCAATTACGATTTTATATGACCGTGTAATTATATTTCATTTTATAATCCAATATCAAATACATAAAGAAACAACGTGGAAATGTACATACATATAAATCAGTTAGAGGTAAAAGTTGAAGGCCTTGAATACTACAATTGTGTCAAACTATTTTGTAGAATAATTGCTTTTTTTTTAATTAATAAAATACTAATAGTCGTCCATTGGTCGAAATTGTACTATATAAAATTTAAATTTGCGTAATTTCCTTAAAAAAAAGTTAAGAAATAGCAATTTTATCATAATCTGTTTTTTTTCAGACATTTCTTACAATTTACGTTAACTATTTTATACCTGGAAGTTTAAAATTACAATTCAAAGTTTACAAAATAGACTTTCGTGATGCTATCGATACGTCTTTAGACCCTTTATTGTTTCAAACACGAAGATGGTTGCAGAAGGGCGAAGCTCCCTACCCTGGCTACTGCAGGGCTCCAGGGAGCGGGACATGTTTACCGTTATTATGTAATTGCAAAACTTTATTAGATATATGGACTAAAATAAACGAAACTAAATCAAAACTTAAAGGTACGCCCGTGTAAATACATTTGGATTATGTTCAATATAACAATTAAAAAAGATAAATGAAAATACAAAAAAAAACTACACATTTTTTTCATCATAACATAACACAACCCAGTTACGTTACATTTCAAATTAAAAAAAATATATTTTTAAAATAAACATTTATTTCTTGATTATAAGATTGTCATAAAAATTAGTTACTTATTGTTAATTCTGGAATAATAGGCGCACTATAAACACCTTACATGAAAAAATAAAGTTTGAAAAATATAGCCACATTTCCAAGCTAAAATAAATTAAAGCATTGCGCTGAGATCTATTATCTTCTCTATATAATTATACGCGTAAATACTACTTTGTATTGGATACAATAAGTAATTTGTCAAAAAATTTACAAGGCGTCAGAATATCAGTGCAAAAAACCTGACAGTTTCATGTTTTCCTCATAATTGTGAAACATATTGTTGTCTTTGTCTTATCCTAAGAGAATGAGAGGGATGTATATATCAAAACTTTCTTTAGTATATTGTGTCTGGTATAAAGATTGTAACAACGCACAATATATCTTATTTACTATGCAATAGAGTACACTTCAGTTTGGCAGGATGTCGTGCATGGCGTAACGCCATGTCCACCGGCGCGCGAGGCTCTCGAAGCGAGCGCGATCTCGTACATACATCTCACCCAACTCCGGCTCCATACAAACCTGAATTAGTATATAAACTTAATAAAACATATACTTTTAAACCCTTATTCCACTAAGCGATTAGCCGTAGCAATCACATGTCAAGATAATAGCTTGTCATATCCTTTTTCTCTCCCGTACAAGATCCGGCATTATGTCTTCAGAAGATCCTTGTGGGTGAGGGGGTACATAATAAGGCAAAATAAAGTCAAAAGTTCAAAAACAAAAAAAGGAGTTGGTGAATCTGTGGTAATACTGACCGCGGTGTATGGATCTGTGAGTAGACTCTGTATGGAGATGAGGACTTTGCCTATGGTGAGTGCCAGTGACCAGTTGTGATGCACCGAGTCGATGCCGACGTCACCGTGACGAGACACATTAGGATGTAGAATGCGCGTCAGGAACCGCACCACAGGAGGGTTCATTGGGTAACTAGCGAAAATAGACCATATTACTAATTACTATAAGTTCTTTTTTGTACAACTGTAGCCAGCCCCATAGTGCATATTTTTCAAAATATATTTAGTGAAATAGTTAAGGTTAGTTAAGTTAGAATCCGTAATATGATGTTACTCACGAGTAGGGCACTTGTATGTATAGATAGAAAACGCCGCCTTCGTAGGGTGAGTCAACGGGCCCCGTGACACTGGCTTGCCAGTGGCAGCACTTGGGGTCCAGCGGAGCCGCCGCGATGCCCTCCGGCGGATCGTTGCGCATCATCTGATACATTATTAAATTGACCTATTTTACTATCTGAATGGACTGCAAAACTTACTAATATTTTAAATATGTATGTTTAGATGGATGGATGTTTGTGTGAAGGTATCTTAAGAACAGCTGAACGGATCTTGATAAAACTTGGCACACATATAGAGCATAGTCTGGAATATAAAGTAAATCTCAGTATAATTCTTCTTAGTTAGACGCTCGAGTAATTATTATTAAAATGATTTAAGTGCAAACTAATATAACAAACGGCTAAACACTCACATATTTGTCCCAGTAATTTAAATACCTTTGATTCAGTACGCAGTCTGTTCCTGCGCCAGGCGTTCTCTTCGCCGACTGGCTGTGCCAACACTGACATCTGCACCAGGCAGTGCCGGCAGAAGCATGAATCTACCAGCGCTTGATACTTCTAAAAAAAATTAAAAATCATTAATTCAAATGCTTTATGCAAAGCAATGTTACAGGCAAAGGAGGTTTACAGTTGAGAGAAATGTGAGAGAGAGAGAGAGTCTAGGGTCGCACGTGATTAAGATTCTACTGTATGTTCAAAAATAGTCAGAATAAAAAATTGGCACATAAGTCAAAATACAACTCTTCTTCACTATCTACCGATTCAAAGGCTAGATGTTATGTTCTTATTATATATATATGTATAAGAGACCTTATGCCAGTCGAGGTTGGGAAGCACAGGTCGGAAAAGTGGCCAGCGTTGCATAGTGAAGGCGGCCCAGCGAGGTGGAGGGACGTGCGCGCGCACCAGCCGCCACCAGCGTGCGCAAACGCATGCGCATGCACACAATGACAAATCATCCAAGTAACTGAAGATGCATAGGAGCACTGCAAACAAATTTTACTACATTTTAAATCATGATAAATTTTAATCTATATTAGGGTCACACTGATTTTGTCAGAGAGAAGAAATTAATTAATAATCAGAGTATGATTGTTTAAGACACCATATAACTCCTAATGAATTAAAAAAAAAGTTCCATAATTGTACAGAATATATTGTATAAAAACAAAACAATTTTACTTACCTTCAGATGGCAAATGCTCCACTAATCCAGGAGCTAAATTATCTGGAAGCCTTGGAGTTGACAAAGCTTGTAAGGAGCGTGCCAAGCTAGGGGGCTGCGGAGGTGGTGCCCTTGCAGCTATGTCAATAGGGCCAAGCGGCATCCCTGAACCACTGCCTTCACTGATGCTCCTGCTTGCTCCAGGTCCTGAGGTACTTGTGCGACTAGTTTCATCTTCAGGGCTTGTCTCACTATCTAATGAATTCTGTAAATGATTTTTATCTAATCAGATATTTCGGCGGAAATACAGACAGTAAATATAGAAACATTTCTAATAACTTCTACATTAAAATATTTTTTTTAAGAACTTAAACAAATAGCTTTTCAGATGAACCTTGCAAACTCAACAATTATTAATAGATACATTAAGTATAGTTTTAAAATGTAGCTGAGATTGGCCAATGAAATATTAAAAGATCTAACTTGATAAAGTCCAGCAAATTATAAAACAACTTACTCTGTAACACCAAGAAGGAAAAGCACAAACTCTGTTTAGTCTGCGATCTAACTGGAAATTCAGATCAGAAGGCTCATCATTTCCAGAATCACCATCGTCAGTTTTTTCACTGCAGAAATAGGAGCTTGGTAGATATGACGGAAAGTCAGGAAAGAGAAAAGCGTGGCAGGTAACGCATACTGGCTCACCGAAACTGGGGCCGTAGTAGCCGTTGCAGACATAGCAACTGGAATTCTACAAAAAATAAACAAGTTTGAACTACGACATTTTTTAAAACCATCCGAATATCAAAATCATTTCAAGTTACATTGTATTCAAATTCAAGCGCCTCCTGCATAGGAGTAACAGATGTCAGTTTATCATCATTTTCTTCTAACTTCTTTATAAAATTAAAAAATTCCGGGCCCATAAGTGACATGCTGTTAACTAAAGTATTATATCTAATTACAATTTTATCAAAAACAAATTTGACAACAGCTTAATGTTTTATTCTTTCAATGTCAAAATTGACATATATTTTTTAAACTGATCTTAGGAGGCAAAGAGCTTTTAATCAGACAGAAATTTGAAACCAAAAGAATTATTTCGTTTATTGGATTTTAAGATTATGTAAGCGTTGGAAAGAAATAATAAAAAAGTTACCAAATAACGTATCTATCCTTTATAAAATAAACTTGTTTATAAATTATAACGATAATGATATCGAATGAACGGAAAACAGACTGGGATACCGAGAAAAATGAATGAACCCTAGAAGGGGACCTTTAACTGGTTTCAACGAGGATTTTATCTCTGATTCGACATTAGCCAATTTTAAAGTAGAGAAATAGCTCCCATATTATATTAGTAGAGACTAGTGGAGGTCGTTTGTACCTTGCATTCAGGAGACAGCATTGTTGCCTTTATGTTTCAGATATGAAATCCCAAATATGTAAAACTTGGGTAATTTATAGGTTTTTAAATCAGATGGTTTTCTGCAGCACTCACGTATTTTTGGGAAACTTTATAAAAATAAAACACAGGTTCATCTTAAAATTATTTCTTATCTGGCAAACACTTTTAACTTCTTATTTTGTCGTCTTCATTTTGATAGTGCATTAAAATAATTTTTTTAAAGCATCAAACTGCGCAGTAATTTTCAACTGCGTATACAAACAAAGAATACAATGTATTATTAATAATTACAAATATAAATTTAAGACAATAGTTATAATCTATTTCATAGAAACAGAATTTCAAATTTTACAAATTAATTTGTCGATTGTACAGAGCCACTTTACACTATTTTATTTATTAACAATCTTATACGAAATTAATCAGTTCTCGAGAGCATTTGGAGTAATGTGGTTACATTTAATGTATTTATGGTAGCATGGTTGCTCCATTAAAAAATCGTTTAAGAAAATACTGTTCTTATTTTAATAACATAAATTTTAAAGTACAAATTTGACATTATTTCAAAGTCAATTGGTACTATAAAATCGTTACATTTAATAAAAATAACTTTGAACACAGCATTTTTTTACTTTAATCCTATAGGTTGTAAACACATGAGACATGAAAAATACTGATATTAAAACTAATGATTTCTAAAACTGCTATCTATTTGTATCTTTATAATAAGAGCTTTTATTAAAACTGAGCGTTTCAGAAGGAATTATTAAATTTTCGTTTTTAACTCGGTAATCATAGTTTTTATTAATAACCAAATTTAACTACTACACATTTGCAATAACATACCACCCCGCGTGATTATATCTTGGTACAGCAAGCGATAAAGCATTACTATGAAGGTTAGTTTTGTTAGATAATTCGACGTCATCGGTCTCAGGTGTCATGTTATTGTCCACGCATAGTAACTTGTGAAATACAACAATGCCCGCCCGTACGCTCGGTTTTATAAATCATACTCAAGTTGCTAGTAGAATTATTTAACAATTTACATTATTTTTGTCATTCCGAATATTTGCATAATAATTTGTGTTTTTATTAGCTTATTTTTTGCATTCTTTGTAATTGCGTTTTAAAAAAATAAATGTTTCTATTACAAACATTCGAATAACTACCAACTAGAATACCGCAAACGGCTCATATTATAATTAATCATAAAATCATCGCAAATATTAATTGCATAAGAATACGACACTTAACACTAAAATCAGGAGGACATAGCTTAAATTTTATATTTAGTCATCAATCCGTACAACATAACAGCACACACTGAACGATCCATCGTCACATATCGTCTACATCCACATGACAATAAACTGTTCAATTTGCAATTCATCGACAAACTTGTCAGTGTCCGGCTCGACCAGCATAACATGACCTCTTACCCAAAAGTATATTTTTTATAAACTAAAGTGGAGTCAGAATCCATTGGCGATCCGGTTGACGACACTGAAGGTAGCCGCCAGTCGGTACACTAAGTTAGCTACACCGCACACACTCGCGAGGGTATCGCGCGGCGCGGCTGCGGCCGGGGGCGGAGTCCCCGTTTTACCGCACTCAGTACGGGGAGTAATACATGCCGCGCCTGTACCCTCTGCGAACAACGGGCGACCACATTAACACCGCTACAAACACTAACTACGACAATAGTAGCATGCAAGCCGGCCTCGGCCGTAGCTAAGCTATCCTTACAAGCCAGCAAAATACAATTCAAAGCTTAACTACGACCATAAAACGGACCCCGCTCGTCAAGGGGAAGGAAGGATATATATACAATAAATTAAAAATACATATAACGTTATATCAACTTTATTTAAAAACTGTAAAACTGTATATAAATATTTCTTCCACAGACAAATGCAATCCAAGACTAAAAGTCAGCCTTATCCATGAGAATATTGTACTTATAAAATTCCTCTTAACAATGGACGTCAACATAATACATTGTCTATCAGTGTAAACTATTGTCTAGAGCGGTATAGATGCTACAGCATTACAACCATGTATAGGATGAATGTGACAAGAAGTCATGCGACATGAATAAGGCTGGGGGACAATCAGTTTAATATGGTTGGTACCTGCCGCGGCGGATGGGCCGGTACACCGCCAGGTATGAGTTGAAGCCGCCGCGGAAGGAGCGGCCGCGGCCACGCATCGACCGCGGAGGCCGGTTGGTTGACGACAACCCCGGCTTGTTCGTGCGCTTTGGCATAACCTGCGATAATAAAAAAAATCATTAATCCTTTTACTTTATTAGTCTACTGAAAGAAAATAAATACTGCTATTAGTTCGTGGGTAGACTGACATTTTGTAAATATTTTTATCAAAGAAAGTTGACAACATAAACTCGGTTATGTGGCATGGTTTTTTCTATGTTACTCGGCACTTCAGGCAGACAAGTGCTCTCAATTGCAGTATAACAAATTAAAAGCCGGGTACAATAACACATAAACTAGTGTGATAAACAATTAAAAAAAATTACAACATCAATGCTACAAGAATCATGTATCACTTCACTTACCTGTAGTAGGTTTCCCTTGATGGAAAGCAATAAAAGCAAACATGGAGCCCATTTTTTTCTCCATTCATTGTTAGTTAAAATACATGAATGATTAGTTTGAAAACTATTATATAGTCTATATAGTTTTTCAAAATGCTTAAATGTCACATTTGGACACAGTGACAACATTCCTCGGAGTTGAATTACCAATAATATGACAGCTATTATGTATTAATTGCTTTTTAGAGAAATAAAAAAATTACCTTTATTTGACGCCCTCTAAATAGAGACTCGTCCATAGCCATAGCAGTTTGTACGCTATCTTTGTCCCCAAATTCGATATAAGCAAAACCTTTGGGATGTCCATCAAACTTATTACATAATATTGTCACCCTGAAAATTGACAATTATTTATGAATTAATAAACCATGAATAATATTTAAATATACATCTTATTACTATTTAAACACAACATGCAATACAACAGCAAAACAAAGTAAAAGCATCAATGACAAAACACTAATAGCACAAATTCATTTAACTTTATTGTAAGAAAAGGATCTTGACAGATGGACGGACGGATAACAAAGTGATCCTATAAGGCTTCCGTTTTTTTCCTATGAGCTACGGAACCCTAAAAAGGGACATAATGAAGCAATTATAATTTTGTCCATTTTAGAACATAGATATTTATTGAATATTCTCAATACATATATACATTTTAGTAGTACATATTTAATTTTGTTAGTGTTGTTAGAATACTTACCGTGTACATCTTAAATTTAACTGTAATAATGATTATATTAAAATAAATTAATAATAAAAATTCATAATGTCAAAGCCTTTATTACCTGTTGATTGAACCACAACCATGGAAGTGTTGTTCCAATTCTTCAGCTGTCGCTCCATAATCCACATTTCCAACATAAACCGACCTATTGTCTGCTTCTATTTTCTCTTCTATAGACATGTTTAATGGACTTGCTGAAAATTTTATATCATTCTTTAATATACAACATCCTAACATTGTAATCTTTTATCATCATCACCCTTTCCTTAATCCACTCAATGCAAGCTGGGCTTTTGTCTTTTGATGTGATCTGTCATACAGAAATACAGTAATCACTTTCTTCTAATTCATATCACCTTACAGAAGTCATCTACCCTTAAGATTGTAAACTTTGCCAGTTTGTAATCCTTCTTGTACATTTAAACTAATAAAGGCATAATGTTTCATATCTTTATGATTTCTTATGTATCAAAGTGATGAATCAGCGGCACTGAACATTTATATAAATAGTAATGGTATATTTAGCTTTAGTTAAGATGCTTAAAATTAATTATTTAATTTTAATTTATTTATCCTAAGTAAGGTTAGAGACAGGCAGGCCGCCCTAGCTGTAATAAATTGAGCCAAAATATTAACATTACAAAAACCTAGTGCACCAATCATACAAGTGGAATAAAGCCAGGGAGATGATGAACAGTTTAAACACATTAAAGATTATTTCATGCTATAACCATTAAAGGTGTAGCATGATTACCGTGTATGACAAGGTTTAAGGCTTACTAAGTCCAGGAGGGCTACCCATGCTCATTTGTTTATCAACTTCAGTTTGCATTTGTTTCAATTTCTCTGCTTCTTCTTCCATTTCTCGAACTCTAGCTTTAATAGCAGCTAGGTCAGGTACCTCCACACCAGATGCCTCATCTCCTACCTTAAAATAAAAAATATAGATAAAAATTGTAAATTTCTGTAAATTATGCCTCATAACTTTTTAATACTGTATGTTAATAACATGACAAGGAAATAAAAAACACATTATTTAATATTATATTAGTATTTTTGATAAAGATTCCAAAGTTGTTTCATTACATGTTCATAGCAATGGGTAGAAAATGGTTAAATTAACAATTTAAGTAATATTTATTTATATTTATATTATATATACGGCATACGAAAACAAATTGTTGTATTAAAAATCCTTTGCATTTTTAAAATTACAACATTGTTGAATAGTTTATTTTCTCTTGAGCATCTTCACCATTTAAGCTGGTCGCATTAACCTCATATATCGTGGTATTTTCTACTTTCTCTCAAAATATGTGGATAGGAATTTGTTTTACAACATTGTAAGCAGTAAGTACACTTAAAAAAGATATGCGATTGATATGTAAACAATAATATTTTGTTTTAGTGGGTCTAATACTTTACATAAAGATAGACAAAACTAAAGTTTAAATAAATTACTTACACCGAGGCTGTTGTCGGTCATGTTTAATGAACCGTTGGTTCCGTCCAAATGATTATTGTCAATGGACTCTAAATAATCGTCATTTTCTGCCATATCCACTTACACTTATAATGCAATTCTTGCTCAGCGGATATAAAGTAAACACTGCACATATAACCTTCGTCTTGGGTTATTACATAAAATCACAAATAACAGAATTCCGCCAACAACTTATGATTACGAAGCTTCCTGACGTACCGGTAACCAATCCGCTAATAATCAATTGATCTACTTATAAAATATTTTCAGTACGAACTACTATAAGTAGGAGATTTTAGCAATCTTACTCCAAATTAGTTAAAAGTCTTAATATTATCGTAATTTTTATAGATTTATTTCACTAAATTTTCAAACACCAAACATTATGACATTTCAAAAATGTCAATCCGGATTTTGGATATAAAAATATAGGCATTGTTTATGCTTCATAAAAAACCATCGCTTTGTAAATTCCAAAACTGAACTGAACTATTTAAAATACAAAAGAACTAAATAGTTGTTAAAGTGAAAAACTACCTTAAAAATAATTTTGTATTAATCTAAATCAATATTAAGATAAATTTATTTAATTTGCTACAAGACAATCTATGCCCAATTATCAAAATCTATGTTTTTCGATGACATATGTTCGGAGTTTGACAACATCCAGTGACATTTATTTGTTGTGGTTTTGGGCTGGACGGTGGAATCAAGCAAGTTAATTAAAATTTAACATTTTGGTTTAAATCTAAAAGTAATCAATATTTGTTTTTTTAAATTAAAACTTAATTAGCAGATAAACAATTTCATTTTGTTAAATACTATTATGTTCCCTCAAGTTTCGTGGTATAAAATAATAGTTTTTGTTAGTATTGATTTTCCATGAAAGCTAACTGTATCTTGTAAAATATGTCGTTCTTTTATAATATACATTACCACAGTACTTTTAATTCAAAAAATCAACTCCCACCATACAGAGCTTAATTGATCAAAATACCAAGATTATTATAGGAACTTTTTGTATTTAATGCAATTTTATCAACAATGTTTTTATTATTTTATAGTTTCTTGAGATTTAATCGCTAAGGGTTCATAGTGACACCGGTTCAATACATCTATACATCCATTAATGGTACAGACATATCTCAGTAGACTAGTAAACAATAAATTATAAGATATTACTGGTAACTTTACTAGTAATATATCAGTTGGTATTAACTGACCAAAGGTTTCTGTGAATATTTTAATGTTAACTTCATTTTTATTTCTAATTAACCATTATATAACTTTGTGATATTAATGTCTCCAGAGTCCTACCTAATATTAAATTTAATATACAGGTGTTTGTGTGCTGTTCATGGTATCACATAATTTACCTAAGCTGGAAATTGTCTAGAGAATTGAATTAGAACAATGCCTCTCACTGCAGATGTTGCTGCACAACAGGTGCAGGTAAGTCATACAACATTATACCTGACTAATATTATAAATTTGAATGTTTTTAATGGATGGATGGATGGATGTTTAAATATGATGAATTTACCTTATATTTGTAACTTCGCAATGTATTTTGATAAATTTGGTGAAGCTGTAGAATGTGGTCTAGAACAACACATAGGCTACTTATTAAGGTTTTTTTAATTCCGAGTGGACGGAGTCGTGTATGACAGCTAGTAATATATAAAAATAATGACCCAAGACAGTATCAAAAATGTAATTTTTTTTGGTGGCTTAATATTTAGATGCATTATATTTTTATTTTTCAGGAGCGTTTAAGAGCATTACATAGGTATATATATGACATTGAAGCAGAGAGAGGTAGGAGTGAACAGTGCATTGATCAGATTCTTAGAGCTGAAAAAGCAGTAGAATCTTCACCATCTAATGATGAATCTTCAGGATCTTCCCAACAAGTAATTACTGCTATTTAGGCCTAATTCTATTCTATTATAAAGAGGAATGATTTGATTGTTTGCATTGAATAGGTTCCAAAACTACATAACCGACGCATGGGCGAAGTTGCGGGCAATTGCTATCTAATATATTGTTATGGAATATTGCCTTATAAAGTAACCGCTGGTGTGATATCTATATAAATGTAAAGTTACATGTCCTCTGTTTTAATGTTTAATTTTAATACCAGCAAATGCAGTTAAAAAACTTATACAAGGCCGGTTTGACGGCGGCAGAACAAGAGGAACGCGTTATCCGTTTAGCTCTGTCCAAGATATATGAAATAAGGGCAATTAAAAATGAAAGACGTATTCAGGTGAGGCTAAAATCATATGTATAAATTATATTACATCCATTATATTCAATCAAATCAATTAGATCAATGAGTTTTTGCTTGTTCCATTGTGTCTAAATGGCTTAACAGAAATAGAAAGGTCTTTGATTCATATTGTTCCTTAGGATACAGAGCAGACAGTTCATTCAACCAGTTGGGTTTATTACCCTTTCAATTATTTGCTACAGCATACAGGTCGATGTTTTAGGCGCGGCACGCGGGCAATAAGGAGACGATAGGGTGCGGGGCACTGATGAAGATGCTGCTAAGTGCAGCCCAGACTTTACCACTTCATGTGGGCCGTGCGGGAGAGCGCGCGCCCGCTCTGTGCGGCGCCGTGCCGGCGGACTCGGGCCACGTGGCGCGCCCCGGTGACGCCGTTGCCGCACTTGTGCGTGTCTCCGACAAGGAAGAGAATTGGATTCTCGCTGAGGTAACATAGTTCGAAATTTGTGTGCTTGGGATTTCAAATGAGGTTAATTCTCTTAGGCAATACGTAACAACACTTTACATATTTTGAATAAGGAAGCTCTAGGATTAAATTTAAGACTTCTCTTATATAAAAAGTGGATATGAAACATTTTGTAACAACTAAATTTTGACAGGTGGTGAGCTGGTTGCCCGCTCAGGGTAAGTACGAGGTGGATGACATAGATGAGGAGCAAAAGAACCGGCACGTGCTGAGCAAGCGGCGCGTGGTGCCGCTGCCGCTGATGCGCGCAGACCCGCGCACTGATGAGCAGGCGCTCTTTCCTAAGGGCGCGGTCGTGATGGCTCTCTACCCGCAGACCACTTGCTTCTATCGCGCAGTCGTCAACAGACTGCCCACATCTGCTGCAGACCCCTACGAAGTTCTCTTTGAGGTAATCTAACTAAAACGTGTTTACATTGTTACGTTTATTTATAATCGTGTTTTGATCCAATTAGTAATAGTTTAGCAAAAGCTCATTAGGCTCATTTGTGTGTAGGATTCGTCTTACGCGGATGGTTACTCACCGCCTGAGCGCGTGGCGCAGCGCTACGTAATTGCCATCAAGGAGGGCAAGGGGCGGAGCACCTGACCCCACCCCCGCGCTCCGCCCCACGCGCGCCTCGCCCCGCCCCCGCCGCATCACTCGCCACTTTCTCTCGACTCGTAGCTTATAGCTTTCAACATTTAAAGCGGCGTATTTGTATTTGTTAAGGAATAAAGTTTCAAGTAAACTTTAGGTATTTGATTAAGATTTGATATTTATTAGATCACATATAGGATATTTATAATGCACATAATTACGCAACTACTGTATTTCTTTTAATTGATAATAGCTATCAATATAGTTTAGCAAATTGTGAATAAATTTAATTAAAAACATGATTATGGTTTCATTTTTACTAATAACAGTTATAAATAAAACCTAAAAAAATCTCCAAATGTGGATATTCAACATTAAAAAAAAGAAAATTCGGGTGTAGAAATGGAACGACAATGGATAAATGTAATATTTTTTATTATATTTAAAAGTAAAATCTATAATGAATACATGATACAATGGTTAAAATGCTAAATATACAATCATTTAATTTTGATGATTAATTGGACGTTAAACAAAATTGATTTCAATAACCTCTAATACTTAACAAAATTAAGAAATAATAATTAAAATTTAATGGAAGCAAATAAAATATATTTAAAACTGAATGGCATTCGGGCATTCAGTTAAATAAAAAAATCATGAGGAACATACCGCAAGGTAACTTGTACCTAAAACATATAAAACGCATTTATTCAAATATACTAATTTATATAAAGATGCTTGTGTCAAATATATGTTATGGGTCAAGTATAAACAAGCCAAACGTGTTTTCACTGTCAAAAAACATGTTACTTTTTGTCTTTTTACAAGAGGATGAAAGAAAATATGTATATATTATTTGGCTGTTAAAATACACAGATATACAAATATTCTATCTCGTCAATTATATTAAAATAATTAATTTATTACTTATACTTTTTTCACTCCAACTTGGCCAGCGTGGTTGACTATGGTCTAATCACCCTTAACTTAGGGTAGGCTCCGAGCCCCTCGGTGGGGGCGTATAGTGAGCTGATAATGATTACTTTTTCACGATTAAGGTTTTTTTGTGATATATTATTATTTATAAACTAAAATATGTGTATATTTTGTCGATTTCATTTCAAAACAGTTCAATAATACTATGAGAATTAAATTTTACGTCAATAAATTTAGTAAAATTAAAAAGTCAAATTACATAAGTTATATTTTTATGCATGAATAAACATGTGTAGGTTCTGGATTTAAATAACGATTTATTAATCTACGTCCTAATTATGAAAAAATATGTAAAAAAATGTATAATAATGGATTTGCTTAACAGTGGGTTTCTGAGAACAAAATTTCCATTTAAAAAAATATTGTTAAATCTGATTTGAGACAAAAGACAGGGATGACGATATATTTTATACAGAGATTTTGGTGTCAGAAACCCACGGTAAATTGGACTTAATATTCGCTTGAACCATAACATATAAAAGCTTTTCGTTAATATATAAGAAATACATAATAAATGATTACTTATTTAAACTTACTTTAAAATATTTCTTCCGTTCACTAATACAGGAGCAAGCTACAAACATAAAATATTCAGGCCTTTTCGTTTGGATTTTGTGACCACAATGATTTCCATTCAAAAATAGACCAATCCGACGATAAGTTACATCTTTTAAGAGATGTAACTGTTTTCGTTCATTGAATAAAGTTATATCCCATAAGAGATGTGCCTTTTTTTCGTAAGATTCGTAAATCATATTAGCACATATTCAAAAATATATCATACTTAAGTGATGAGCAAGTTATTTTATATGGCATATCAATATAACCCACCATAAATAAGATATGAGATCAATATTACTTCATTACTATTGCTGTCCCAATTCATTCTCCATTCAATATGACCTATGTTAAGAGATTTCTATGATTTAATGTCCAATATTAATTTAAAAACATGATTTTTTTTAATTTGATTTATGGCATCACAGATATTAATTGTTTAGTTAATATTATCGATTTTTTTTTATACGTCATATTGTCAATAATTCATCTAATTCTTAATTTAATGTTTAAAATATTACTAGTCAGATAATAAATTGGCAAAATTCGTAAATGATTAGTGACATAACCATCTCTTAACATAGACTGTACCCGGGACCGCACACGTTGTGACTCAATTTAGATAATTGATTTAATTTTACAAACTCATTAATCGTCAAAAGTTTTAGAAACGTACGCAAACTAAAATCATCTAGAGAGCACAAGCGATATTTTTTTTTTTGGTAATATAAAATAAATATGACTACAATATTAAATCCATTGTGTTCCGTCCGTCTGGCACTTGTGATGATTTTATCTGTAAGGTAAAATATTATTTTGTAAAGTTGCAATTTGTTGAAAATATTTGTTACTTCTATTTCATTAAAATATCCCTTATTCATTTAAAATTGTAAATTGTAGGTAGGTTACATTCACTAAAATAGCATTTTCTTAAGTAACAAAAAAGTATGAGTTTAGAAAAAACATTTTTGCATCATACAATAGAGATGTACATTGGGCAACTTTTATTGCCTACTATTAGATATTATTAGTTAGAAACCTTAAGAGCGAATGGTGCGCTATCGTTACTAACTCAAGTGTCAAATTGATTAGTGAGGGGACATAAACGTTGATATTTTAATAAGGCTAGTATTGCGTCGATATACCGACAGTGCCGGATTTTATTCCTAAAATACCCATTACGGTGAAACGTAATTTAACGTACACACTGCAATTGTATCAAATTTAACTAACAATCAGACATGGTTGGGTGTATGATGTTTGATAGTATGTATGTGTATGTATGTACTGACTGGTACTAGACAGCCTGACGGTCGCTGACGAGGCCCTGCAGCTTGCGCGCGACACCGGGCGCGGCGCAGCGCGGTCGCTTGATCACGTCCCCGCCCTCCGCACACCGCTTCACACCCCCCACCTCACACGATACCAACGTGTTTATCGCGTGCAGGTCCTGGATACAAGTAAAAACATCCATATTTATAAAATTTAAAGCAAGATTTCAAAAATAATAAGTAGTAAAACCAATTTAATAGAATTTAAGTATTTTTTAACAGAAAAATAAATATCTTGCAAATGTTGCACAGATTCTACATATTGTGACGTCATAAGTCAATAACTATCCATAATCACATGACCTGACTTTTGTCAAAGAGAGGTTATCTTCTGAAGATGGACCTCTTGCTACAAAATACAATACCTTAGCTGGGCTACGACTGAAGCGATATGTAAGATGGTGGTCTGTATGCGGCGGTGTTGTGAGCGGCTTCACGTACAACTGGTGACGCTCCGACACGCGCTGTCCCGCCGGAGAGCACGCCGCGTCCCCGCGACCAGCCGGCAGCGGTGACAGCCCGCACTCCTACAAAACACATCATCTTTTATAAAACTCTACAATAATTTAAAGTCATAATATTAATATATCCGGCTCAAAGGACCATTTGGTACAAAACGTTTATTACAAAAGACTTTATGGAAAGATTATGTCTCGTAGAGCTGTACCACCAACTCACTCTTTATGTTGTTGCGGTAAATTGCTTTAAATAAGTTAATAACTAGTATGTTCTATAAGTAGAAACATTCTTTAAAAAAAATCTTACATCTTTATGTTTGCCAGTAAATCTCAGGGCAAAGCTCTGCATGCACTGCACATACACTTTATTGTAAAAATTTATTAAATCTCCTCTTTCCGGTGAATCTGAAACAATAATATGTTATAATTATTTTAAACGGAAGAAAAAAAGTCACACTGATTGCGAAAGATGAATTGATGGATGTTTGTTGTTATGTGTCCAAAGAATAGCTAAATATTCATAATTTAATTTGGCATGTAGAACATAGTCTGAAAAATACATAGACTACTAAGTTTTTTACTGTGCATTGACATAAAAGTATATATTTCGTCTGCATCTGTATTTTTGATGCTCAAGCACTTATTTATGAATACAAGTTATATACTTACTTTCTCCTGTACTCTGTTTAATTAAAACCGATCTATATACATGATTATCAGCCAACGGTCTCTGTCTGTAACACTTCATGATGTCTGCAAATGTTCTCTCCACTTGATTATTAGGATTATTTGATACCTGAAATAAGAAACATGAACATTTAATAAGAAATTATGATGCGAAAGCAAATATTAGTGTTGGTTAGGTCTCCCTTGGGTATTTACTAGTTTTTACCCGCGACTCCGTCTTCGCGGAATTTAAACAAGGAAACGTTACAAAAGTAAGAAATTATATAAAAGTATGTTACGTCCATCCCCTTCTAAGCTACCTCTTCACCAAAACGTTTCTTTCTCAAAAACTCATCCAGGTTGGTAAAATATGTAACATCTTAGCAGATATAACAATGGATGAGTCGTGTGTCAGGAACATTCCAAAGGGAAGTTTGCCTACCCCTCTAGGTCACAGTCGTAAAGTATATTGTTATGTCATACCTTACAAATAACATATACAGCACACATGAGTATCTGATCTAGATGTCGGTCCCGCATCAGCTGCGTCTGGTGCATCACCGAGTACTCCAGGCAGGTCCAGATCTTGCGCTTCAGTTCCTCATCGGTGAGTCTCAATCGAGTACACAGGTCTATCATACGCACCACCGCTAAACTGTAGAACTGAAATAAAATGTGTACTTTAAAAATCTTTGGTCTATTAGGTATCTCCGGCGACTCTGTCTGCTCGGTATTAAACAAAAACATATTTAGTACTCTATGTGTGTATTTTTCTTAACTATGTTCTATAGTTGTTCTATCTATGCCAAATTTCAGCGAGATCCATGCAGTCGTTCTAGAAATACTTTCTCATAAACATCCATATATACAAACATTGCATTAATTATACTGCTGACAACAAATACCAAGCAATATATAATAAGAAAATAAAAATCTTTGACCGTTTATAATTAATATTTAAAATCTGTATTTTTTTTAATTGTGTTTTTTGGAAATTATATTTAAGTACGAACTACTAATAAAATGATGAAATATGAATAATATTTTTCGATCTTACCGATAGAAAAAGTAAGTTTATGTTTAAGTTGATTATCGATAAAACACGAATAAAATGACATTTTCTAAAAATGATTCCTAGCTAGATCGATTTATCGCCCCCGAAACCTCCTATATACTAAATTTTATGAAAATCGTTAGAGCCGATTCCGAGATTCCAATTATATATATACAAGAATTGCTCATTTAAATATATAAGATAATTTATAAATTTCCTCCTGCTATTAAAGCTTACCTACCTAGTACTATAAAAATATAGATTAGTATCAAAATATAAACTAATAACTATTTTACCTTTCTGAAGAATAATATCAAAGAGTTGTGAGCTTTCTTGGGTGTTGAATTAGGCGTTGTTTCACCATTTGACGTTGGACTAGGGCATACTGTATCTGGTTTCACCGTCGTGTTTGTTTGGACTGGAAATAGGAAATTATTTATTTTACTCTAGGTTTAAATAACTTAACTAATTAAATTTCAATACAGCTAAAAATACTGTTTTGTATTTTTATTATGAATTTTGTTTATAAATCAAGCATCTTCACATTGATCATATCAATTTTATGAGTAACAAAATTACCTAGAAGTGACTGGCCAGGTTTAATATTGTCCTTAAACAGCTGCTTTTTGGCTTGATCTGCTATAGGAGCTAGGTAACGATCTATCACACCTGAAAAAAAAACAAATAAAAAAATGTTACATTCATGAATTTACAGAAGATATTTAACTCCAAATGCCATTTATTTTTAATTTTCTTACCAATATTCCGTCTGAATAGAGGCGATTCTTGGACATATACTTCAGTAGAGGCAGGCACTGGTGTCTTGCTGAGCTGGTCCCAGAGTGGACTATCTGATGTCCAGACCAAAGATTCTAATACTTCCTCTTCAACCTAACAAATATACATAGATAACATATCGTTTGTAATTTTGTATTGTCTCTGTACTAAGAACACATGAGAAATTAGACAAGTATAGTAAAACAACCATAATCAACCAACCCGCACTTGGCCTTAATCATCCTTAATTTTGGGTAGGCTCCGAGCCCCTCGGTGGGGACTAATAGTGAGCTGCTGATGATGATGGTGATAGTAAAACAAAACAACTACTTGGGAATTCAATGACCTGTTGTAGTTTTCTAACACTTTTCTAATACACAAATCTAGCCAATATTGTGAGAATTCACAGAAGCATAGAAGTAATATAGCATTTTTTTATGATCTTCGCTGCATGATTTGTATTGATTAACAATCATAGGTAATACATTGTTTACCCCACTACAATATAGGTTAAGAAGAGAAGAGGGTTTCAGTGCATTCTTCGGAGATTCTGTAACTCTCTGGTATTGCATGACTTAAGCCACCGATGAACATCACAATAGGTTACTTCCTCCTAAGAGTAAGGGTATTGATGTCCCCGATAACAAAAGCCTGAGAATGATACTTACAGCATTAAGATGTTTAATAACATCTCTACTGAGTTTATCTACCAGCGCCTGGACCACCAGCTCAATGATCTTGTAGAAGTGGAACGCGCTGAGGCCATATATCTGCAGCACGCGAGGGAACCGCAGCGAGTTCACTCCATACGCGTGCAGAACTACTTCAGTGCAACACGCGAACACAGTCAGTTGATATGTTTCTTGTGATAGAAGCATCTGGAATACCATAGACTTGATCATATATTTTTTATTTTTTTTCATTCACTAGCAGTTGATCAGAACTACGTTCGAGCGGAATTAAAAAAAAATCTAGTTATATAGACTTTGTCATCTGGAGACTGTGTAGCTACCCAACAGTGAGATTTTTTCCAAATTGGTTAAATATTTTCAGAGCTTACTTAATGCAAATAATCAAATCATTCCTCTTTATAACATTAGTGTAGTGTAATTAATACTTCTTTCGAATTTAAATATGCAAAAAATATAATAAACATAATATTAACCTGAATAAATACCTGTAAGGATACTTGAGGTTTCTTCCTATGCTCTTCTCTGATGATGTGTTCAAATACTTTGAAATAAAGACACAAGACCATGTTATTACGAAACGTAATAGCTTCATTGCTGCATTTACTCTCACGCAAGCTTTTTGAGAACTGCTCCGCCCAACCGTTGCAGGGCTTTATCACTTTTGCATTTATCACATCTTCAGTCACACCGCATTCACTGAAACCAAGTATTTTCTTATTTATAGTTATTGGCACTTTTACTACCATAAAATATAATTGTAAGAAAACATTCTACTTAAAATTACATTTTGTAAGGCGAGAAAATGTTAAGTCGATCATACACTAGTAAAGCTAATAACTTCGCTTAACTCTCCTCGACAGGGGCATTGACATGCCCTTAAGTCTAAAACAATATTACTCACGCAAAAAGTCTCATAAGCGAGGCAGATGGGAATGGCTTAGTATTCCTAAGATAGGCCGCCAGCCGCGCCAGGCTGTTGGTGGCCTCCGACACGGGCGTCAGCTCCTCACGCCCCGCCAGGTAACATCGTCCCGTCAAAGGAGTGTCTGGACATGCACGACCACTCTGTCAAAGAAAAAAAACAATGGAAACTTAATCTAAATGTTAACATATATTGTTTGAACAAAAAAGATGCAATGCCAATTTAAAAATAATGATTAACACATTGTTTTTTGTCTGTTTTTTTTTTTAATTTGCCTAGTGTTTTTGAAAGATGTTAAGATTTTTGATAGTGGGTAGATAATAAATAAATGTCACTTTTGACACAACTACTGTAACAGATGTAATGTTTTTTTCATGACTTCTGTTAACAAATATTTTGTTCAAAAATGTTATAATTATTAACAAGTTGAAAAAAAGATTCAAATAGGTGTGTGAAAACATTTGTTGTAGTTTAATAAAACTCATAATTGTGTATTGATGCCAAAAGTTATTTAGTACAAATAAATATCAAATGTGTTAAGCAGAAATTTTAAAGAAGTGAAATTTGATGATTATATCAGCGGCCATACTTCTCTCTCATATCAAACAGGTCTTCAACAATACTGGTAATTTACTAACTATACTATTAACAAAAAAAAAAATACTTACCGGTCCAAAACTAGCAATAACTTGCGAGATCTCTTCACCCGAGACTTTCTTTGTGCCAATTTGTTCATTGGCATGTTCACCTGTAATGAAACATGAATATTTATTTATTTTATGTTAATTTAAAGAAATTTTTTAATCTATAATATTTAGTTATACCATTATTAGTGAGATAATAAAATAATAAAGGTTTTACAGAAATTAATGATGACATTTTTAATTGACAACTATTTAATGTCATGTTACATATGAATAAGTTTTAATTTTTACAATGACATTAATATAAAACCTTTTTGAATGTATAAAACCTCTTTGCTAGTAACATACCTAAAAATATCCTCTCATCAAATTCACCAACACTTAAAACATATGTCTCATACAGATTGTTCAATGATTTCAGATTTGCATCAAAGTTTCCAATGTCCAGTAATCCAGTAAGTTGATCGGAATTGCCTTTCAGAATCTAAAAATGTTACTATTGTTAAGTTATTTAGCTTGATGCTTGTATGGAATGTATGAAATTAGTTGTAACTAAAGACTTAAAATGAGTAATTTTACATTGAGTTAATAATAGATATAGGTAAGCAATAAAAACAATATGGATAAAATAAAGCAAGGATTGTTTAATTAGGTTAAACATGTTAAGAATTGTTTTTTTTATATACAAAGGTAATATTTATTATGGTAGGTTTTTAGCGAAAAACTCTAACAAAAAAAACAATTACCAATAGGTATCAATAATTGTTTGTATGAGTGTTTTGTTGTGGAAAATAAAGTTGACCAATTATGAAACAGGTTGCATAAACCCTCATTATTCATGAAACATAATCTACTTTGTTAACAGAAGGGGGCAAACAAGTGGCGGGAACACCAAGGTGATCAACAACACCCAATGGATAATTTCAACACCAGAGGAAGTGCAGATGCGTTGCCAACCTTTAAGGAAATTGTATGCTCGCTTTTTGAATTGTTAACATTGTTTACTATGTAACTTACTCCTTTGTCAAAAAATGATTTAATCACAGGTCTCCAGCTGTATTCTTTCATTGTAGCCGCTTCTACAGCTAATCCCTCTTTAATCTCACACAGTACCGATATAATGCATGGAGGTTTTTTTGGTAGTTCAAAGTCATCTTTCATCCAATCAGGTGGTAAACCTAAAAAAAAAAAACACTGGTATTTGGATAAAGGATTTAAAAAGTAAATTAAGAAAAAAAAAACACTTTTTTTTTCAGATAAAGTACTGTTAAAACTGCAAATTTATGTTCCAATCTTGTTGTCAGATTTAGTAATATTGATACCATCAAAGTTATTTGTTATTTAGATAATATTTATTTACTTAAATAATAAAATTGAATGATATTTACATCTTAGACACGTACGGAAAGACATATTACAAATTTTTATACATGCATTTTTGCTTACCTTTAAAAGCAGGATTTATTAAATCAATGCGTCTAGACATGAAGGCATTGCCAAAAACAAAATCTAAACATGATAATAATACATGATACATATCCACTAAGTCATCTGCTGAATTATGAAATTCTCCTTTAACACAAACATACAGACACCAAGAGAATTCAAATAGAGCATTTGTTGTACAAGGTTGTAATCTGCAAGAGATAATTATTAAGCTATATAACATGGTATTTACTAAATAACATTAGGGTTTAAACTTGAAAATGTAAGAGACTGTTTCTCTCTCTTACAGAGTATTTTAACTGAGTTTCTTGGTTATGGATGTGGTCCATCGGGCCTGGACAATGACTGTATATAAGAGCTTCATATTATGTATGTTATTAGAGTTAATAGTTAATAATTAAAAAATATCATATACTTATGTATCAATACTTACTTTTGTTTTTTGCTCTTTGTGTTACATTTTGTTGGTTCACTTGTTAAACCAGAAAATAATTCTTGAAAAATAGGAAGAAATTTGCGAAAAAGTACTGTTGAAACTGCAAATTTATGTTCCAATCTTGTTATTCTATCTTTAAAATCCGTAGACATTAATGCCATTTCCATCCAGTTTTTGATTTTATTAAAAAATTGTATAAGACTGCAACACCAATATTTTTATGATTATTTTTGTTCTAACTATAATTTTACAAAGTATGTAAAGTATGTAGAGTTTTAATGCACCTTATATTACAGAGCCTAAGAAGGCGAGTCAGGCTAACACAGTTGCCTTCGACGACCTTGCCAGATTGCACAGTTGGCGTGATTGAAGTCCTGCAGGCTACATACAATGCACACGCCATCCAATGTTGTATGTCCCCCTGCAATAGACACATATAAATAAATTCTATTGTGCAATAAAAACAAAATATAAGAGAATTAACTGGAAATATCAACAAAAACAATAGAATTACGTGCGTGTCCGTGTCATCTGCAGATCATTCATTTTTTTAACTTATCCCTACAGAACTGATTGTGTCATATGAGTTAATGATATTTATCTTACAATTTTAAAATACTTACATCTAAAGTATAATTACGTTTGATTTCTAAAAATGATTTTTTCGACTTCTCTGCTGCAGCAGGGTCAACATTTAACTGAGAACACAGATTGTCTAACGCAGATATCCAATTTTCCTCACTTTCCTCGGGTTTCGACATGATTGTATAATAGATAAAATTGTAATTAAACACAAATAAAACAAAACATAAACCCCAGTATTAACTTATCCCAAATACGTGCTATTTTGACAGATCATTGGCGGGAAGAATGCAGAACTCCCTCCTCCCTTTCGCATACGCGCGCAATCTCTTGTCAATGTCAAAAATGTTGTCACATGAATATTAACAAAGTCTATGATTTTGATTTAAAATTTAATTAAAAACTAAATATCATTGTATGCTGTCTTAGTTTGCATTTTGTGTTGAAATTAAATTATTTTACGTTAATCCTATGAAATTTAAATAGAAATTATTCCAAGTTAACAATAAAAAAATTATTTAAAAGATTGACGTCCATTTTTTGACTCCTTTACTTGACCTTTCTTGATCCATAGTAATGAACATTTTCCAAATAAGATGTGTTACCAGGTCATATAAATAAAATATATTGACCTTTCTTGACAGATGACAGTGACAGCCTTTTGTTGTTATTTTTATCCAAGACTATTTTAGGTTATGTTTGTTGTCCATTAAAATTAAATTAAATTTTTACAGTTTAGGGAAGTCTTAAAATGTTACGACGTTTTTATCACGTTTCTGCAACGTTACACAGCGTGAAAAAACAAGGGATTAAACTTACGAAAATGATTAACCCTAAAATGAAAAAGTAAACAATTTAATAATGTATTTTATTTTATTTTAGCATGTACCTTGTATTCACATATTTTCTTTTTTAGACAGTGGTATCCATCGGAAACAATAAATTCAATTCCAATGCCTAGTATCAAAAGTTTGACAAAAATACAGAACGAACCAGGTAAACGAGGAATACGAAGAGTAGCAGTTTTAAATAAAGTATTTATGAAATACATAACTGATATTATGTCCACCGGAACAGTTGCTATCAATATAGTTGGCAAAGGCATCGAAATTTCGAAGGTAATGTACTAATTACTCCCAGTTGGATCCGTATAATGTGTGCCAAAAATAATTCTATTTGTCACTGTATGAAGTAATTGGTTATCATTGACAATTATCTTCTTTGAAACATATAAACAGTATGTATGCCACACAGTTGGATGTCAAAACTATGTTCCAACTTCAAGAGTATGTAAGAATATGAGCTGATAAGGTGTTGATATAGACCCACAATACTTCTTTTTACTTATAATAATTTCCATTTACATAAAATTACTAATTACAGTTTTATTAAATATATTGAAATGGGGATAAACACAATAGCAGTTTTATTGTAAAAAATTCACTTAAAATTATCAACATTTAAGTTTATCACCTTTGGTTTCCCACAGAGATCTGGTTTAAATATATAAATTTGAATAAAATGTAATTTACACTTTCTGCAACATTTTTCTGTGCTGCCATTAGTATGGCACCATTCTTACTAGTTAAACTGTTAAAGACCTAGAAGCTGGACCTCTGATTTGTCCGAAAATTGTCCCAGACAATCATATGTAATTTAAGTCATTCCTAATTATAGAACTTATTGAAACAAAACATCAACTTCAAGTATTAAATTATTGTAGGAATTATTAAATTGAAATTATTGTTTTAGGTTAGAGTCACTCCTGATTTCTTAACAGTAAATGTATTTTGGATTTGTAAAGGCGATTCCACAGATGAAGAAACAGAAAGTTTGCTTAACACTATTGCTGGGGCATTGCGCCATGAATTATCTACTCTGAGAGTAATGGGGGAAGTACCTTATATTGTATTTGTTAAAGGTAAGTAACACTAAGGTCTCTTTTGCAGGGATATTTATGTTTTTTTAACTATACGAGAAAATGTGAATGAGAAGTGTATATATGAACTCTCAAAGTAACAAATTAATTATTAAAATGTTTTAATGGCTACTTTATCACTTATGTTCAATATTGAAAAAGAAAGAAGAAAAAATAAAATTTAACAGTTATTAATAAGGTAAAAAAAATCTCGCAACGTAAGTGCGTTTTTTCTCCTGTTGCGTATGTTCATCGGCGAATCAATAGGTGAACCGCTGCTCGTTTAATCTCTTTTCATTTACAAATAAGTTACGTTTAAATACATATTAAATGGTTTAAATTTTTTCATTTTCTTTTTGGTAGATAAACAAGAAGCGCAAATAGCTGATCTCGATCGTAGATTAACCGTAGCAGATTTCGGTGAAGACTACACACCAACGGACATGGGTCATATGTTAAAAACAGAGTTCACTTTGAACACAAAACTTTCACCTGAAATGAAGGTAAATAGTCTTTGTAATTATTAATGTTTAAAGTAAAATCAGTTGTAAGCGCGATGCAATGCAATTTGCATGAAATTAAAAAAAAAAACTTACGTTACGTATTTTAAGTTTTTTTTTATTTCCATACTTCATTCCAGACCACAATCTATTTCTGTAGAAAATTTCATTTGGATGCGTTTTGGTCAGAATTTCGTCGTAACAAACAAGCTTTGCATTTGTACTTAATACTATGTGTCTCCCGTGACTCTGTCCACGCGGAACTTATTTATCCCCCCATCCATACATACATTCAAACATTCGCATTTATAATATTAATAAAAAGTAAGAAATTTTAGTAGATTATTCCACAAAAAAGTAATTCGCTAAATTATTCTCGAACTCCGAGCACATGGTGATTACTAAACATACAATAGAAGAACAAAATGCATTAAAGCATATATTTTAGAAGGGCAAAAGACAACAAAGCTATTTTAAATTGCCAACATAAATCTTATAAAGTCAATTTGCGAATAATTTGTGTAAATGACGACAGGGAGTTGGCTATACAAGTATAAGTACTATAGATACTGTCTACGCCGGTCGGCGCACGATCGATCGCTCCGCAATATAAGTACAGGGTGTTCCTATAGCCGCCATTGCGCCGTACATACAACGAACATCCATTTGCCGCGCACATAAGCCACGAAGTGCCTCCACATTGTTGAACTTTCTGTATTATACTGAGAGATTGGAGATTTTATATTAAATAAAGAATGGTATAAATCTGTGTATTTGCACTTATTATAGTAACTTGTTCTGAATAAGCATCTTTGTATTATATTTAACTTTATATTATTTATTACTTAGGTCTTGTTTGACAATGCCCAAGTAGGTCTTGAATAAGCTACTTGAAATTTTTTTGGCAAATAAAGTCGCGGTTCGCGTTTCACAGTCTCTAAATAAGCCGTGTAACGGCAACTATTTCATTCAATAGCTGAGAATACAAAGATCTATATCTTCATGTAAAAAGTAATTAAAGGGAATTTGAAAGTGAAAAAATCACTAAATTACTACAAAAATACTTCAACTTGAACAAGTTCTGTTAAAACCATACACAAATAGAGACAAAAACTGATGTAAAAGATGTTACTTACAGCTAAGTACTGAATAAGACGTACTAAGACTTACATATGTCCCTTTTGTCCTTATGGACGTAGATTATACGCGTATATGATAATTGCGCATACATTAAGACTGGCATTAACGTTCCACATAAAGCTTAGCGTTTAAACGTCTGCGGACTTGTATCTACGACGCAGACATGCTAACGATGTCCCACCCCCAGACTTGAGTCACTTCCGAGCCACCGAAGACAGATATGCGCATTACGATGAGAACTTGAACATATCAGTTGCGTAGTGCATAACTGTTTAACCGTGGATTTCTCAGACCTAAAACTCCATTTGAAACATATTGTTTTCTCTTTTTTGTCCATATGTTTGATACGGAGACTTTGGTCTCAGAAACCACCCGTAAGTCTTTGCTACTGCGTCCTAATTTATAATACGTTTATCGCTTTAATTAGAGATTAATAATCGCTAATATGAAGGTCTAACTACCTACTACTACTATGAAGGACTAACTCATGACATATAAACACTAGCAGTCGCCCGCGACTAAGTCCGCGCGGAATTACAAAAAAATCTTAATTAGTAGCCTATGTTCCTGTTCCTGTTCTGGAGATACCTTCAATTAAACATCCATCCATCCAACTAAACATTCGCGTTTATAATTTTATTAAGAAGTAAGATCGGACGGAAGATTTTTGCTAGAAAAAGTATTGCAACAAGCAACATGTATTTTGGATTTATTGTTCTATTGCGTCTCTCATTCCCTGTTACGTTTATAAATTGGTAGCGATAAAAGTCGTTAAAGATTATTATCTATCACTACATAAAAAGACGTGATAGTGGAGATAATAAGACTGAACAGTTATATCCATCGCCCACCCGTTGGGCTGTATTCGTTTTTCTTTTTTAATTTAGGTTCTCTGTAATCATGTCGAAGTACGTCATTAGACGGTCATTTCGTAAATGAAATTACGTGATATCTAGCAAAGGTCAATGAACAGCGTATAAATTATATAGGGGTACATGTCTGTGCAGTTATTAAAGACTTCCCCCCTCTTTTTTTTCGACGGCTAGACTCGCCAGGATTCTTCTATACGCTATTGACTCTGCGTGCATTTAAGTGTTCATTTCCTACTTTTTGATGCTCTCCGGTTAAGTATGTATTGTTCTTTACTTTATCGTATAAATATAGAATTGTATTTTGAATTAAATTAATAATATAAGTAGTTCAAATATCCAAATAATGAACATGTCGATATTTTGAGGCAATAAATCCCATTTTAAAATAAGATTTTAACAGTACATTTAGAATCATCAGAACTCCTTAATAATATCTAAGCCTAAGTAAGCGAAGTTTTGTTTTTTATAAAAATTTGGTATTAAATAGAATTAAATAACTTAATCCTCTTTAACAAGAAAGATTTTTAATAAAATATACAATCAAGTCAGACTCGACCTTTTTGTCTATGTTTCTCTGAAAAGCCCTTTTCATAAAATGTAAGCCGATTATCTCTGAAAATAATTGGCTCTTGGAATATATACTCATAGCTATAATTTGTACAGATTTCATCAATATTTATTAATAGTCTTATTTCTTACTAGCTATGCCCGCGACACCGCCCGGGTTAATTTTGTCTTCGGGTATTTTTAATTATTTTAGTAAAACTTACAAAACTAACACGTGAAGCTTACATACACCCATACAAGCTTTCATCCCCTATTCCCTATTGTTATTTTACAACCAGTTCAAGTCAGTGTTGGCGTGAAAAGAGACAGACAGAGTTACTTTTGCATTAACTTGTAACTAAATAGAATACAAAAATTTGAAAATATTACAGGCGAAAATAGCACAACTGGAAGCTGATCTACCTATAACAGAAGATCCTTTACCTGAAATGACTCACAACGTTTATGGATTAGATCACGCGTTAATCATGAACAGATTACTAGCTGCTAGAAGAAGGAGCAAGGATGCATGGAGCAGTCTTAAAGAAGACTCACCTGTGATAACATATAGAGCTCCGGAAAACAAAGGAACTGAGGTCGACACAGGAAAACAGAGGCAGGAAATAGCTGATTTCTTACTTAAAAGACAGGTATAGTATATACAAATTACTAACCGTGGGTTTCTGAGGCCAAAAGCCCCGAACTTATTGTTATCTCTGTTTTGTCAACAATAATGACAGGGATGACGATGAGATTTATAGAGATTTTGGCTTTAGAAACCCACGTTAAGCTAGTTACACATTAATCAGGGTATAGAAATGTTAAAATACTATCGATTATTTTTATGCTTATGGCATAAATCAGCTAAATAGTTTGTATGTGCTAATATCATTAACTATGCTACAGTTTTTAAAAATTCTTTGCATATTGGGAAGCGTAATTATTATGAAACATTATAGGTTATTTAACATTAAGATATAGGGATTAACAGCGGAGCAAAAAGGATTTTTTTGTATTGAATAAACAAACGCTTGACGTTCACACCTGTTGTTAAGTGATGATGTGGTCGAAAGATGGTACGCGCTAGCTTAGTATATATGGCTTGAAATAATCAAACAAAAGAAAAGGATCCTAGATAATCATCATCATCATCAGCTCACTATACGTCCCCACCGAGGGGATCGGAGCCTACCCTAAGTTAAGGGTGATTAGGCCATAGTCAACCACGCTGGCCAAGTGCGGGTTGGTTGACTTCACACATATCTTTGAATTACTTCACAGATGTGTGTGTACTTCACAGGTTGCATCACGATGTTTTCCTTTACTGTAGACAATATTGCGTGCATATTATAGTAAAATGTATAATAGTTTCTGAATCCAATCAAATACGTTTTTTACGTTTTTTAATTACTAAAAAATACGTAAATAAAACTTTAATTGTATTTTTCTAGAGTTGCATATTATCTTTGTAATTAATTTTGTTAGGTGAGTCATGCATAACGTGAACAAGCCCTAGACTATAATAATTATGGTGGGAATACCCCCTCTATCGGGCCCATCTATGGGGTAGGTCTGTATTTAGTCGTTCATACTAATGGACTCGTATTATAGGGAGTCAATTCTACGAAATATCAATAGCATAATAGCATTGCGGTCACTAACACGCTAAAGCAAGTATGTGTTTAACAAATATATGGTAAATCCTCTACAAAATTATAAATATTTCGTAATAATGTGTTTGTTTGGTTGGAATACAGTTAAATTGTTACTATCATAAAAAATAAGGCCAATAAGTAATAATATTTGATAAACAAGTATAAATAAGTAATATTGTTGAGTGATATCGAAGAAATTGTAGCCGGGCAAGGCTAACGGTTTGATATAAAATCAATAAACAATTTCATTTCTTCCTTCAACGATACTTATGGAAAATAACAAAGAGTCAAGATAAGTAAATATACAGTCAACAAATATTTTTGTTCTCTTTCTGACTAATGTCGAGGGTCAAAGTTACTGGCTGTAAAAACTTAACGTAGGGCATTTTCTTTTGTCTCTATTGAATTCGTGACTAATACGCATTTCTACGAACTTGCCAATTTAGTTCGTCGCCCGGTGTTTGCAATTGAAAACAAAAGAGGTATTATACGAAAATATTTCTTTAGTTAAAGTTTTATGGAATTTCTTTTTCACTTTATTATCTGTTTTTTTGGAATTTTATTTATTGTTTTAGCGGTTACAACAGGCTAGTATTTGTACTTGAAATGACAGTGAAGTTGAAAATTTAATGAAACACGTACTAACATCGTTATTGCATCGTATCGATTAACATCTAGCGTGTACAAGAGAAAGTAGCGTAAATCGTTTTGAAACCAGTTCTTAATTTAAAACGTTACTTTTTTTTGGTAAATGATGTAATTTTATCGACTGTAGGTTGGCTTCTGTACACCTTTGTAACTTGAACTGTTCACAAATGGTGCATTAAATGATCTTTAAATCTAACCGTGGATTTCAAAGACCAAAATTTTCGTGTAAAACATATTTTTATCTCTGTTTTGTCCAAAATAATGACAGAGATAACGACATGTTTTAGGCAGAGATTTTGGTCACAAAAACGCACGATAAATGAACCCTTGGTTTTTATTTGGTATAACATATTTACACTAAGAGAATGTTTGCAATTAAATGAATTACTGTGAGTACAGCAGATCCTTTAGGGGTTCAGAAATCTTTATCGTATTTGTGCCTTGAACACTTAGAAATAAAGGACATGATATAGGCATATAATTAATTTTATTTTATTTTTTTGTGTTTTATACAAATATAAACAAAAAAAACTGTATATTGGATATATTAGGAGAAAATACAAATTAAGAAAGTATCCTATTCTTACTATATTTTCTTATACACGATAAAAATAATTTTAATTTCTTAATTTTTGTTGTCAAATAATAATATTTATTTTAGATTCTAGAGAGTAAGCTACGTAAGCAGAAATTTGATAATCGGGAATGGATCGAAGAAAATGAGGAAAGAGTAGGAAATGAATATGATGAAGATTTCGAGGAAGATTATTTTGAAGACTATGAAGATCTCGATTACGATGAACGCCAGTTACAAAGTAGTGAAAATAAACCTTCGTCAAAGTAATCTTTAGTATAGATATGTTAGAAAATTCAAATTTTAAATCCCGTTAAATAAAAAGCCAAAGACATTATGGCAAGAAGTCGATTGAAAGAAAGCCAAGACTCAATTGCTAAGCGCCTCATATAGTCCGACTGAGGATAATAAAAATGTCAAATATTTATGCTGGGTATATCAAGCAGTTAAAGGGAGTTTAAAGCAAATTAGAATTACCCATAGACGCATATTCATAAATAAATTGTCAATGTTTTATCCTTTTATATGAAAATAAATAAAACTTGTTATGTATATTCATAATTGTACATAAAATAAGTATTAATTCGAATGTGTTTTATTTGGTATCCTTGTTAGTTCAAATTGGTCGTCGCACGTGCGCTAAACCGAAAGCCAATCAATATGTCTGGCTTTTCTCATCAATACAGCGCACAAAAGCTCACGTTTTATTTTAATCAATTATGTTTTGTTGAACGAAGATCTCTGTTATTAAAGTTATGTAAGGATTGATTAGACATAGGTTGAGAGGAAAGACTTGGGCTATTTTAACGACTGTTAAAAAAAGCAAAAGACAAAACGCGGCTTTCAGTAACTCTTTAACAATTAAGTAATATTGGATCACATTTAGAATATGTTCATTCTCGTATATAATTCAATCTTTTCATAAATATTTCTCATAGTTCATATGCCAAGAATATAATAAGCAATATTTGCTCAATAACGGAAATATTATCTTCTGGCGAGCGAACTTTTATTGAGATGCCTGCATTTAATAAGGTCACGTTGATAGCCAGCTTTATTATTACGGGTATCGTATAAACAAAGCAATGCAAATAAAATAATCGTTATCTGTACTGAACGAAGGACAGACTCATATGCAAAATAAATGCATCGCAAAACTCGTTTAAAATTGCGTGCCATGAAATCGTATGTATTCTAAATATCGGAAACATAGTTTTGTATTACGATATTTGATGTTTACATTTTCGTACATATTCATTCCTAGTTTTTGACTCAAAAGCTAAATTAGCATGTTCCATGCTTAAAATGTTTAACCAAGGTATCGATTTCTTTGTTATATTTTCGTATAAAATTGATTTTGTTGCCAAGTCACGTTCGGTTTACCAAGCACTCGCGATTTCGGGAGTCCGAGGAGTGGGTAGAGTACATATTGTATAGGCTTTTATGTCGGCCACGGTGTAATAAAGTTAATCCAGGTTCTGTGTAGACTCTGTCGAGTATAATCGGGCGGGGTGGGGGCGAGGAGAACCGGCCGGGCGGGTGGCGGGGGATGGTGCCGGCCACCTGTTCGCGGCGCGGTGGCGTGCGGGAGCCCCCTCGCCTTCGCCGCCGGCTCCCCACCGCCCGCGCCCCGCTCCGCGCGCCCCACCGCGGGCACCCTCGCTGCGCGCGCTGCGCCCTTCCCTCCACTCATTCGTTCCGCGACGCGTCGTCTCGTCGGCCGGCTTCCGCCACTTACTCACCCGGGCTCATTCTCGACGCGTCTGTTAAGCGCATCGCTCACACCGCAGCCCTTACAGAAATTAAATAGACATGACGGAAAGCACAGAAACCACGGCGGCCCCTGCGGCGGAGAAGACTCCCACTGAAAATGGCACCACCGAAACCCCGCCGGAGGAGACTCCCGAAAAGGCATCCGAGGAGAAAGAAAAAGAGACCCCTCCGCCCAAAGAAATGCGCGCTGTCGTCCTTACCGGCTTCGGTGGTCTCAAAACCGTCAAGATTCTTAAAAAACCGGAGCCGACTATCGGAGAGGGCGAGGTGCTGATTCGTGTAAAAGCTTGGTAAGTATTGTATTTTGAGTTCAATATTTTTCTTTATGTGTGTTTTGTTAACATTTTCAGTTGTCATCTCAAAAGTTAAAAGATGCTTTTAAAATTTTAATTTAGAGATTGATAAAATGGACAGCGGTGTATCAATTTTTGATACGATAACGACCTGCAACAAAATATTGACAGGAAGATAAGTGCCGGTGCCGGGCTTTTTACTACACATTACTTGAAGGCCACCGTAACTTTACGGGCGGTGATTCGCACCTAGTCACCCAGTGGCCGACGGCGGCGGGCGGGTCCCGTTCGCTCGGTGTCCGCTTCACCGACATCTGCCGGAGCGCGTCGCCTGCGTCGCCCATCGCATTGCATTGCTCTGAAAGCGTATAAAAATTCTGCGTGCACACTTTCAATATCCAATGCAAACCCACGCCGGATTTACATCAAGGACAAAGAAATCCAATAATGAAATCCGTTTTAGCTCCTTTATCAATATTTTGTATTTTTGCGTAATTTTTCACTTTATCGCCAATTTTTAATAATAAAAATAGCCGTAATAGTAATTAACAGCGTTTTGTATGGCAAATAATTACCCCGCAAAAGCTGAAAGATCGAGTTCGTGAGAAAGGGAGGGGAACTTCACAAGATATTGTTCTTTGTTCGTTTTTTTATCGCTCCAGTGGCTGAGATAATACGACGAAGTAGCCGCGTCGACAGTCTACTTACACGACACATGACTTATTTGCCATATTTCTCGTAAAGTTTAACTGCGGTCGGCAGCAGGCTTAATAAAGTGTCCACTTAGTTTGGAGCAATAGTGTACGTAAGTTATTGTATTCGGGGAGCATAATTAAGTTTAGGAAAAGTTCGTGTGGTTTTTTGTACGGGTCGATTCCGGCTCGTGGTCGTGCGTCGGAGGTGGGATGGGCTGGGCCGGGCCGACGGCGCGGTCGTAGGGAGTGGAAGCGGTGCCGGCGCGGTGCGTAGGTGTCAGGCGAGGTGGCGGAGAGCGCAGGCCGCAGGGCGCATCCCCGCTCGTGCTAAATTTAGCTCGCTTATCGTGGACTTACTATGTAAATGACCGCGACATACACGGCACCAGCTGCCGCGAAAATATGATCCGCCTGCTTGCAAACCGCCCGGTTCTCTTGGATATATTCCACATTGTCGAGCTTATTCCTTACTTGATTCTTTCATCCTTTACTAAAATACATAATCAAACTTGATTCGGTTATTTTTAATAGAACTTTGACAACTACAGCGTGGTTAATTTTAATTATATTTAAGTTTACTCAAAAAAATCATGATTGTGGCCGATTGTTACGAATGAAATAAATCTTACGCCGAGTCTATTGACCTATAATTAAATAACCATTATGCAAGACATTGAGCGTAAGACGTTAGAAATAAATACCTGTCTAGCGTAGTAGTCGCAGTCGCCTATACGTTGTGGCCGTGACTTCCACGGCTTATAACGATCATTCATGTAAGTGCAACACATGCACTAGAGAACGTTAACTTGAGTCGCTCCGGTCAACACACGACGCCTTGTAAGTCGTAACGCAACTTAAAATAGAAACAACGTAAACACGAAGAAAATATCTAAACAATCGGCCAGTGTTATCGGTTATAAAACTCACACAAGGGCCTCCTTGTTTTATACGCCTATTAAAATAATGATATGTAACAGTTATAAAATGAAATTCATCCTATTAAGGATCGATGGGTGCGTATGGTGCAGGCTTTTTGTATAGAGCTCTCGAAGGGATCATTGCGATGTATAAAGACGCATTATATTCAATTAGGTCACGTCGGTGTCAGTAGACTTCCGAGAACAATCCAGATACTCACGCCCTTGTATTGAGCTTACTTATGCCCGGAGAGTTAATTGAATGGCCGTGATGGAAAATGTACCTAATTGTGGACCTGTTTTTTGTTACTTAATCTTTGCTCTAGTATTATCGTAATTGCCGTAACGTATCGGAACACCGCTCAGTAATAACCATGTGTTGAATATATTGTTTTATTGTTAATAATAGTTCGGACGTCCTACTGTATACCTGTAAACAATGATTAAATAAAGAAAAAAAGCAGTTGATTATATCGTTGGTATGTTGTGAAGTTAATTAACTAGTTTTATTTCTCACTGAATCACATTCAGATTTCGTGACTGATTTAACGATATATCCATTATCTTACTTATGTAATTTTACATCACAATAGTGTACATAAACTTAAATAAATATAAAATCAAGCAGAAATTTTATAAAGTAGTGACAGGGACGTACTTGCAACAAAAGTGCGTGTTAATTGCTCACATCCTCGCCTTTGTTGGGCGTATCAATTTAGATGCTAAAATTAGCTTCTGCCCCTCGAGATGTGGGCCTCCTACTAAGGTATATAAAGTGCAGTATTGTGCATTTAACGGGCTCCGAAGCCGCATAAGATGGGAGAGATGAATTTGTTTATTACCCTCTTCCTTATTGAGAGCGTCTGCGCGAGATAGCTCTCTTCCTATGACTCACTAGAAAGTCATGTTCTCGAAGTAAACTCGATCACAAGAACTCGATGTGATCGCAATGAATGCTGTACCGAGTGGGTGAACTAGAAACAACGTATACTATTGTAGATAACTTATTAGAACTATAGTATGAAATTATATTAAATACCTGTTACTTAAATTTTTTTGCAATAATATTTAAAAAATTTAAACTTTTAACTGTTGCTTTTTTACGCGAGGTCTGTATTTTCGTCTTGGTAACTTTTGCATATTTTATTAATCTATTACAAAAAAAGATAAGCGAAAACGGTATGACACATTAATCTTTTATTTCTTTTGTAACGTTTTGATAAATTATCACTAATAATTGTCAATTGTGATGTTCAATATATTGGTAGAACATCCTATATTCACATTCCATTAAGCCCCTATAACGATTCGACATACGGGTATATTATCTGATTGAATGATTAATGTCCAATAACTACAGTCATTCATATTTCTTTGTAAATATTTTTTATGAATTGTAAAGATTGACTCATCCGCGTATCAGTTCCTTACATTTGATAAACAATTTTAGTAGTCTTGACATTTTGCCTACTTAAGAATTAATTTAAACTACAACTACCCTATAAGCGGAGAATGAAATCGAATGAAACCTCAATCACCAAAATAAGCCGTTTTGGCACAGATTGAAAATTAAATTAACATACAAACCCGCATATAAATCACATCAAATTCAAGAAAAAAGATGTTAAAAACAATTTAAGTTAGTGGAATTTAAAAATGAATTGATTTCTTGCGTATTTTATTTAACAAAACGTCATCTATAATATCACAAACGACATATAAATCTGGAAATGACAAGCTGGTAGACCGTCTATCAATCAAATCTAGCGACAACCGTGTTTATTCAAGATGCGATATCTCGTACTTGTATGTCACTATTTGCCTTTATTTACTATCTATATCTGTATTCCTTTATTGATATAAAGTATAAGTAGTATAACATACCATAATTAGAACGACTATGTAATATGCGCCAGTAACATATTCTTGTATTGTGAAACTCAACTTGCACTAAATATGAGTCATTCAACTTAATGTCACTCTCTTCAAATCATTGATCAATTCAGATATTAAGAGCAATATTATTCATCTTATCACGTTTTATTGTGATTCTGTTGACCTTGAATATTGAATATTCATAATTTTGTCCTATCAACTGGGTTTTTGATAAGTTTTTATAGCTCGATAAAATGAAATGTAAACAATGTATTATTATGCCCCGTATTAAAGAAATAGGGTTGAGTAGAAAAAGTAGAAAGTACACATATAAACAAAAAAGTGGTAATAGATCACCTGATAAGTGGTAAATAATCGAGTTAATACATCCCGCTAACGTCAATGACGTAACAACAAAAAAAAACAACACGAGACCAGATATTTGACAGATGTACAGCATCATATCGAATCCTTTTTAATGTGATAAGAAATATTGAAAAAGAGAGAAAAAAGATTGTATTCCCTTTAGTGTAGGAAATCAATACGAACAGTGGGAAGATGTTTAAGTAATGGTACGTTTTCGAGGTCAGACGGAAGCGGCGCGCGTCAGGACATGTGGTGTCAGATGAAATGAAATCCCTGATCGTGCAGCAGATGCGGCGGCGGGCGGGTCGCGCGGCCACATTGTTCGTGGAGTCATTGAACTTACCAAAATGCTTCGTCGCTTATTGTGACCATAATCGAATCAACTCCACGCTATATATGGCGGTTAACTTCGCCGCATTCTTTTAATACTCCTTTTTTACAAATTCGAAGCACTTGACATGTAACAAATCACCGAATAAGACCCTTCTTAACTCTTAAAGCTCTTGAGTATATTTTTATTCTAGAATTTTCAACAGTCGCGACTGATGCGTATTACCGTTTTCGATCGGTATAATCAATAGTGACTGATAGCTAGAACGGGGTTTAGTATTCCTAGGTAATATTTGCTGACGTTCATTACGCTGGCAATTTTTTCTGTTGCTGGGTAAATTGAATTGGAAAATCCCATGACTCGTTCGCATGAAAAAGGGGTGTGGTTGCGTCGGCTCGGGGTGACAGGGTGACGGCGAGTCGGCGGTGCGTCCGGGGTGAGGGCTCGAGTTCCCGTAATGTCTGTCGCGGGGGTGAGTGCGGCGGGGTTTGCAGGGGTGCGCGGGAGGGAGGCGAGCGACGGATCAATACGACGCGTCCCCTATCCGAGCCTCGCCCGACCGATCTCCGCAGGCCCTTCGTCTTTCGACGCCGATGCTTGTTTTTTTTAAAGCGCCCATTAACCATACCTCCTCGATAAATGTATAAAAGCATGTGTGTTTCGTATTTTATTTTAACTTTGACGAGATCCATTCGGGATCTATTGTTTCAGCTAGGATTCATTTCCGACAACGTGTTAGTTTGTCCCATACTTTTTTCTTCACTAACGGAATATGACGCAATAGTAACCAACGTTTGCTAAAATGAATAAGGC